CAACTGAATGTCGTCTCAAATTGAACAAAGGTAATAAGCGTTTACAGGAGAAAGTTTTAAGTTTCCACCAAGAATCAAGCTATAATACAAAAAAACGAATTGTTTTTAATTCAAACACGTCCTATATTTGTGTATTTAAACTATCCGTTTCGCGAATCCCGATTTGATCAAATACATTTACACGATCTAAAAACAGTAAATATTTTGACTCGAGTGTTGCTGGCAACATCTGTAATTTATGCATTTTTGCTTGCAACATTTGTGCAAATAAATACATTGACAGCAAGGACATATAAAACATTAAAAGGAAACATAAATCACTTTTAGGTTATTGTTAAAGTTAAGCCAGAGTATTCTTTAAAAACAAACAAAACTATCATTACTTTTTCGGATATCAAATAGTTATATGATGAAACAGAATGCTAGGCATCCCTTTAAAGAACATTTACCCTAAGCATTGAAATTACCTTTTCATAGAATCTGGCTTGCTGCTATACTGTTATGTTGATATTGGGTCATATTATCGCATTATTTAACACAAAGTATGTTGACTTTGTAAAGTAGTCATCGAAGGCAAATATGCGATTGATGTAATTGTATCATGGTCTGTTATCATCTTTCTACAACAATATTTCATTAAGCAATTTTAAGCAATGTTGAAGGCTTAGGACATAAAAATAGTTTCTGTATTTTATTGCTATTTAGTAAATTTTGTTTTATGCTCCTTGGATCCTTAAAAGAAAAAAATCTTCCCTCTAAGATAACATTTGTACTCACAAAGCAAATTTCAAATGCTGTTTGACTGCTGTAAAACGTATCCGGTATTTCATCCAAGCTATGTAAAACATTTCTGGTCCTTCGGGATACCTGTATTCTTCTTAAGTTGGTAACACATTGTGCACGTCTCACTATCTTTAGTGAAGTTACTAGTACTGTGTACGCAATTAAACCTATTAATGTTTGTTCTATCAATATCAACATCTTAAGAATATTTCCCGATATGTTTCAAGACAATTGATCTTATACGAAATTTTGAATTGTATAAATTGTGTGCTCCTTACATGTTCTTTTTGATAAAATAAGTATGCATTTTTCCACAATAAAAATTATAAGAGAATTTCAAGGTAATATAGTTTGATCCAAGCGTCTTGAATCTTTATGCTATATTCAATAAGAAAAACTGTTAACATGAAATATTCTTCTCTTAAATTATGTTGATCTATTTTGGTTTGTAGTTTATATATCAATTGCCAATTGGCACACTTGCGATAAACAACAGTCTGTTTAAGTAATTATTTCATTTTAAAGCCAGGAAACTGTTAACGCAGATATGATAAATATCCGAAACCCAGGTGCAGGCAGTTATGATTTTATTTACAATTTTATGTTCTAAGCCCGTTAAGCTCAATCACGGCAGATTTGAAATTCAGGGATTGCTGTTTAGATCATCGGGCGGGGCGGGGTGTGTCCGTTACAATAGATCTCGGAAATTGGTTCTTATGGCCTGTTGATTCGGAAATCATGTGAGTAGTCAATTACTTGCGGAGAAAATGGTTATTACTAGTTAGTAATCAGGAAAAGCCAGTTAGGTGGACTGAACGCCGTGATAAGACCATAAATTTAATAAAAGTGGCGCAAGAAAAGACATATAATTAAAGCAGTACTAGAATCTGAAGAAAACCTGCAGTAGCAATATGTACTTGTACCTTCTTACTTATACATAAGGTAAGGTAGGACTTATACAATAATTTTTCAACCATATTTGGTTCATTAAAATCTGATAATTAATATGTACATTTGTATATAGATGATATATGAAAAAGTAGGTACTCATCATGCTGATTTGTGCCATTCGTGTTTTCGCCCCGCGACCCCGTCAAGCGATTAACAAGTTAGAATGGCGGGGGGGGGGGCGGAGCGAAATAACGCTAATTAGCGATGGCGCAGGGCGAAGTTTAATAAACCAAACTTCGTCCCGCAGTGTCGCAAATAAGCGTGTTTTCACTCCGCGCCCCCGCCATTTTAACATGTTTATTATCGACTTTTCGCTTAGCGGGGTCGCGGGACGAAAACACGCTTATAAGCGAGGGTGCAAGGCGAAGTTTTATTTATTTTACTTCGCCCCACGCCCCCGCTAATTATCGTGTTTCTGTCCCGCGACCTACCATTTTATTTTTTAAATCTCGCTACGCGCCCTCGCGGGGTGAAGTTTTATTTATTAAACTTTGCCCCGCTCCCTCGCTGATTAGGGTGTTTTCGCTCCGCGGCCCCGCCATTTAAACTTGTTCATTATCGACATTTGGCTTAGCGGGGTCGCGGGACGAAAACACGCTAAAAAGCGAGGGCGCACGGCGAAGTTTTATTCATTTTACTTCGCCCCACGCCTCCGCTAATTATTGTGTTTCTTTCCCACGACCCGCCGTTTTATTTCTTAAATCTCGCTCCGCGCCCTTGCGGGTGAAGTTTTATTTATCAAACTTTGCCCCGCTCTCTCGCTTATTAGCGTGTTTTCGTTCCGCGCCCCGCCATTTTAACTTGTTCATTGCGAACATTTCGCTTAGCGGGGTCGCGGGACGAAAACACGCTTATAAGCGAGGGCGAAGATTCATTTATTTTACTTCGCCCCACGCCCCCGCTAATTATCGTGTTTCTGTCCCGCGACCCGCCGTTTTATTTCTTAAATCTCGCTCCGCGCCCTTGCGAGGTGAAGTTTTATTTATCAAACTTTGCCCCGCTCCTTCGCTGATTAGCGTGTTTTCGTTCCGCGCCCCGCCATTTTAACTTGTTCATTATCGACATTTCGCTTAGCGGGGTCGCAGGACGAAAACACGCTAACTCGTGGGGGTACGCGGCGAAGTTTTATTTATTTAACTTCGCCCCGCGCCCCCGCTGATAATTGTGTTTTCGTTATGCGTCCCCACCGTGTTATTTAATAAATCTCGCTCCGCGCCCCCTCGGGGCGAAGTTTTATTTAACTTCTCCCGCGCCCTCGCTAATTAGCATGTTTTTTACAACATAAATATATACAGTAAGCATATACAACCACACTGATATATTTCGTGGATTGGAAAACAAGCCCCCGCCGTTTTAACTTGTTAATTTTCGACTTTTCGCTTGGCGGGGTCGCGGTTCGAAAACACGTATGGCACAAATCAGCCGTCATATGTATTGAAGCTAATAATTCTTTTCGAAATCACAAGTTTGCGACTCCTTGATGTCAATGGTTTCTAGACAAAGCAATTTCAGTTTTCTATAAACAATGCGACAAAAGCTTGTGAAATACTTGTGGCTAGATACGATTCCATCTAATGAGTAATTGTTTTGAATTCTTTTGTGAAGTATTTGTTCGAAGTAAGACAAAGTTATATTGTTTTTTAGATTACTTTAACCAATAACAATTTGTAATTTATTTCTGTTTTACATGACCTTCTTAGCATTCATTTTTGCTGTTGATATATAACAATATATTTCGTGGAAAAAACATACATGTGCTTATTTTATATATTTTATACATTTCATATTCGTACGATTAAAATGCAATTTGTGCGTAATATTTTTCACTGTATTCGAAAAATGATGTTTTTCAGCTTAAGATAAAGAATATAATTATGAGCACTCAACATAATGTTTATCAAATCATTGTTTAGTTATTGAAACTATTGTGTATCAAAGACGAAATTTAAGAAAGAATCATTTAATTTTGTAAAATAGTTTAGATATGTTTAGAATTGAAATGTAACATATATGTACTACATAACATTAGCAATCAAATATTTATATATTCATATTTAAAACTTCATGTAGGTAAAACATTGTTAACAATGACAAATAAAATTGAAAATGAGGCCAGTGTCCTCAGCTAGAGTAAAGTTTCTCACGGTTGATGTCACGCAGTTTAAATAAATGAGCCGCGTCACGACAAAACCAACTTAATGGGTTTGCGACCAGCATGGATCCAGACCAGCCTGCGCATCCGCGCAGTCTGATCAGGATCCATGCTGTTCGCTTACAAACCCTATAACACATAGAGAAACTGATAGCGAACAGCATGGATCCTGATCAGACTGCGCGGATGCGCAGGCTGGTCTGGATCCATGCTGGTCGCAAACCCATTATGTTGGTTTTGACATGACGCGGCTCAAATAACGTTTTATATGTATCATAAAATGTGTACTTTATTGTGTTGTGTCTTCGTCCACGAATCTACTAATTTATTACTTGCTGTTAAAAGTAAGTGTTTTAAACTTATCATTAGACTATAAGACAACATTTGTGTCACTTATTTAATTTCATCGGAATAGTTTTATATTGTATTCTATGATATAAAGACGTTGATTTGCGCGCATTATATGCCAAGCTTCAGTTGTGTATAGCAAACAGGATTTAGTGGATTTGTTGTATACTAAATGTAAAGAAATTGTTAACGTTTTTATCTTAACAATAATGACAGACAAGTGTGAGAACGAGGCACGTGTCCTCAACTGAGTCGTTAGTTTTAAAGAACGGACATTTTGTTTGTTCACTAATGATGCAATACAATTTTTAATAATTTTCAAGATATGTTTTAAAAATATAATAGATCATGTATTTCATGTGTGAGTTCTAATCGAAAAATGAAATTTTCTATATTATTTTATACGCATGAGACAAGGCGACGTTCTCGTACATGTATTTTCATTATTGGTTGTTGGCGGAAAACGCTTTTAATTATTATATTTTATATTGTAAAATTTGCATTTTTCTAAATGACAATCTTCAAAGGGGAGAATAACGCCGGGATTCGCCCCAGTGTGTCTTGGGTTAGCTGTGAGTTTTTAAATAAATTAAATTTTACAGATGTTTTATTAAGTTTGTTGCTAATGTTGATAATTTAAATTATATCTTCTACTGTCAGTGCTAATATTTTGGATTTATGTTTTAATATGATTTCTTTTTGAATACCAAATACATTTTCAGATTGCTTACTAGAATATATAATACCATTTACAACTTTGTTGCAGATGGCTGTAAAGATGCAAACAATAACTGTGTTAAAAGCAGAAGAGCCAGTTGAAGCAGGCAATAGTGATGACGATGAGGTTATTCCAAAAATGACGTCATCACATAGCGCTAAGAGAATTTCGTTTCCAGTCGACTCAATTTTAAATGCTGTTATTCAGGACGGGGATGTGATGGAATTGTTACACATATTGCGATATCAGCGGTCAGAGTTTGATCTGAATCAAAGAAATCACACGGGTTTGACTGCATTACACTACGCTGTATTGACAAATAATCTTGATTCTGTAAAGTTGCTGTTAAATCACGGCGCAAATGTGAGTTCTCAGGATGAATACGGGTTCTCGCCTTTGCATACTGCGGCAGCACTTGGATTTTTACAGGTCACTACAATGCTCATCGTTCACGGTGCTGACGTGTTTTCACTGACAAAACATTCGGAGTTACCTATAGACTTAGCTAAAGACATATCAGTGATTAGAGTTCTTTCGAATGAAATGTGTTTAAAGCTGCAAACCGAGCAATATGTAAAATCTTTGATATTTCTGGCAATCAGAACTACGTGTGCAATTATGTGTAAATTTTTCATGTATATTCTCAAAGGAATTATTTTTGTTATGATGTATTTATTTCAAAAGTGTTGTGAATTAAAAACGAAAGGAAAAACTAAACCTGTCACACGGACAAAAAGCGATTTAATACAAAATATAGGAAACAATGATATTCAAAGGAATGATAAAGAGACGCTTAACAAGAAGCAAAATTGATTAAACAAAAGTTTATGTCACAAAACACAGTACATATCAAGCGTTTGTTATTTGATTTAACCAAATATTGTTTTATATTATTTTGACGTATTATGTTTTTAATAAATTATTTTAGTCTGTTGATTTGAGTACCATGTTGAAAGAAATGGTAATGAATATGGTAGACTAAGCGCAGATAAAGCCGCACTGCCGGAAAGTTCATATTCCTGACTTCGAGTCATAAGTACATGAAGTACCTGCATGTTATGATGGGTTTTTGTTAGTTTGATACAGTTCATCAAGGGAATTAGGACTATCTTAAGAGTCACACTAATCGTGGTAGCAATACTTGAACAATGTAATTTTGACAGTCGACAGATATACTGTGCTCATTAAGAATAAATACTAAGAATAAATATACTATGTATGGCAAGCTGCACGACAATTTCAGTTGGTCCTTTTTAAAAAGGAACTTGTCAGTTGTTTAAGTCAGCACATGTTTATTTTATATTGTGTAGCAATTATCAATATAACCTTAATGCATAGTTTATATTTAAACAAACGTTACATTTATCATGTCTCGTAAAAAGAATCAACATACATTGTCAACATGATTTATGAAAGCAACTGTCTGATATCATTTTAACGTCTACACAATTGTATACATGTAGTTAGCTAACTAACTTAACCTTATCCTCTCACCTAGTACATGTAACAGTTTACAAATAAGATACAAAATACGTGTAATGACAATTACGAAGATGAAAATTAATATATAGTATCTTTAGATCTTCTTCCCCCAATATTCCTGTATCCGTTAATAACAAACATGTAGGTAGTTTATTGTTTTTATAAGACACATTTTAAAAAATGAACAATTTTTTATGACAGATTCAACATACAACAAAAGGTGTGTTTCAATCCCAGGGTAATAAAGATACATAATAAATATAAGAATCTTAATAAAGACTATAAAAAATATTCGGGTATATCAAGATTTTCACTCCAAAGTATTTTAGTAATAGAAAGTATCATTGACAGGAAATGTTCTGCCTATATTATGCATGTATTCCCTGCTTTAATATTAACACAATCGAGCAAAGTTGTAACATGAAACTATGATGAAACAGATACTAGGGGAATCAAACGGACAGCAGATAACAATAATTCAAAAGGAAACTACTTATTGGTCGGAATTCAAAGCTTATTGCAGCGTTTGTTGTGATTTCTTGTTTAAATTCAACAAAGAGAATTCAATTCCTTACATTTATTTAATCACTGCGATTTTCCAAGATATGCATGGACAATAGCAGTAAAAATGTACCTAATTGTGTGTACACAGTTGCGATTGCCGACGTTAATATGTTTCTAGTGGACATGTGTCAAATAAGATAAGCTTATAAAATATTTTTTAAACAGATGAATGATTCAAAATGTCAGCCTGTAAAGGTATATATATATATATATATATATATATATTTATATATTGCATTTTTACATTAATAATCAGAATATACCTTGTCAATCGTCACCGTATTACTTGCACGGTGTAATACGAAAATAAAAAGAAAGTTTCAAAATAAAAAGATATAAAATTATTTATCGCTCTTAGGTTTAGAAATGCGTAGATTAAACGGGAGGTGGAGAATTATTTGCAAATAATGCTGCCTGTAGGGGATAAAAGTATTTCGAAGTTTTAGAGGGGAAATGCATCTACACATACATGTATTGCTAAATAACCCTTGCAATACATTTCAAGGAAGTACTCACGCCGAAACATTAATTGTTTCAACATATCAATTCAGCTGTTTCAAACAATATTTTTAAAAACATCCGCACGTTTAAAATAATTGTCAATGTCGTACGTTTTCAGATGACACATATATTACTGAGAAGTTTAAACAGTTTGTATTAATTCGTAGAACATTCTTAAACAAAAAATGCTTGCTATTATATCATTCAATTTTGTGATGACAGATTCAACCTACCCACCCCCTCCTCTCACCTTTATTTTACATGATAAGTTTCTTAAAAGAAAGTTTCTTTTATAGTTATGAAGTTATAATGATATTTTAGCTTGACACCAAAGTCCATGCAACTGGAATAAATCAATACAAATATGCACACAAGTACATTCATTAAACCTTATTTAATGGCATTTGTGTTAATTCTCCGGATAAACATACATATTGTTCTATTAGAACTCATTACATTTACAACAAGAATCATTCAACTATTACAAAGCGCTGTTTTAAATCTCAAAATAAGTGAAGATATCAGAAAACTGTAACTTTTAAATACCTAGCATTATTCCAGGAGATAATTTAAATGTTGTGTAATATATAATTTAATGTATCAAGAAAACATTCAAAAACGTTTAACTGCATTATATTCTATTTTAAAGCGTTTAAATTACAGCAAGTGTAGATGCAGTTAATGATAAAAAAGCTTTCAACCACTCCATTTCAGATCCGTAATCTTCGCCTTAATTTCTATTAAGTGCGATGGATTTACATTAAACTATTTACGTTATTTTCTCTGCTAAGCAGCTTATCAAACAACAATTAAAATTTGGTTGTGTAGACAGGAAACTCACACTTAAACAACTTTTAGTGTTGAGCTTTATAACTTTGATAGGTTTGATAAGATCATTTGATGGTTTGGGGGATTTGATATTTATAGTATAAAAACAAGTTATGACCTTCGAAGAGAGACGAAGATTTATGCAAATGTTTTATATTATATTTACAGTACATAACTCTAATAATTGACAGCCGAAAAAATGATATTGCTCATGATACCGAAAATGCATTTATGAATGTAAATTATAAGTCAACATGTATTTTATATGCATGTACAATTCATAATATGTATAGGATTCTTTATATTTGCCTTCATTACAGAACTGTCGTCTAGTACATACATTGTATGTATGCCATTATAATGCTGCACGTTTGTCGAGTCACTTTTGATTGGATAATCGGGAGTTAATATAGTTTTATATACACGGCTGTCGTCAATTTATAAAGAAATCTCACTTTTTTCTCTATAAAAAGGAAGTTTGCAGTTTTATATAAATTCGTTATAAAAATTGTTTACGGTTAAATGGTCGAATATAAACGGTTGTTTTCAATATAACCCTCGCCTGGGCGGCTCGGGTTATATTTTACAAGCAACCCTTTAGTAATATTATTAACTTTGCCATATAAATCAGACATTGTTTGTTTGACAACGCTTTGAAATGAACAAATTCAATCGCTCCTTAAAACGATAATTGCAAATTAAAATATGCATTATAAAATCCGAGTCTGGTGAATAATTTCATCTAATTTGTTATTCTCGGTTCATTAATTGATACCATTGCGAAAATTCATCTTTTGATATATGCCGTTAGTTAATGGTAGACTGAGATCATATTAGCTTCAAGAACCCAAACAAATTAAAAACGAAAGGCGTGATAACGATGCAATTAGTTTAAAAACGAGCATCCTCAACATAACTGGTAACACAATTTATTTTCGTAATGCTTTGTTTCTAATTTCATCAAAGGATTGAAAAACATCGTCGCTACATATAGCTCTTACAATTAGATTATTTGACATAAGTGTGTCAAAGATCTAAGAATATGGTATATCAAATTCCGCAGAGGACCTATGATTATTAATGGGAGAAAGCTATCAAGCAAGCTTGCGGAATGTCGGTGGATCTACTAGAGACCTTCTCGCGCCTGAAATAATAGACAAAGAGGCATCTGAAGGTAAGATTAAAATTAGGTAAAATTATCAGACCGTCAGAGTTTAGCTTAAGATTATTAAATAAATGATTCCAGGTGTATCATGATTATATTAGAAAAAATAATTTGATAGAAATAAATGTTTTGGCAAAGATGTTGATGTGCATCTCTTTACATGTTTAAAATTCAACACGTTTCATTTGCAAACTCAATACTAAATCAAAAGAAAGTAATTACAAACGGGTATACATTTATTAGCCTGTGCTTTATGTTTGCAACTCTCCACTATAATTAGGTGATTATGTATAGCAACGAAGAAGATCACAAATGAAAAGGTCAATATGTACGAATTAGCAAGTAATTTGGAAATTTTTCTCAAAACTACCAGATTTTTTTTAAAACGGCGACGAAATATGGACTAAAAGATTTTTTCTGAAACATAATACAATATGTAGGGCAAGCTTAATTATCAAAGTTTAATTTAGCACCTCAAACTCCCCATTTAAAGTTAAAAATAACCATTTTTTACGCAATTTCTCCAAGTATATAGAAAAAATTTCCACAGAAATCCGTAACGTTTTCCAGGAACTCCGTGACAGTTATCATAAGAACTCCAAACAAGTTATCATAAGAACTCCATCCTTCGTGTAACACTTCCTCCCCCGTGATAAATGCTATGCTAATATTTGTTGCATAATTTAAGCCAAGCATGTTGACATAAAAACTGTGATAAATATACATGTGGTAGTCTATAATAATGTATTCATCTACTCTAGATTTCTTATATACGTTAAATACGTTAGCAATCGAATATATACTATAGTTTATACCACTGTTTTCGACAAATTGACACTGTGATTATTCAAATAATGAAAATAGCGAAGGCGACTGGCTATTTTATGACATGTATTATAAGCTATAAGAAAACTAATATAAACTATTATTCGCTCAGTCATAAATTTCATGGTTTACAAATCATGTTTCACTTGCTTTTTAAGTAATAATTTCTTTTTATTTGCACATAGATAAATGTCCGACGGAGATGCAAGTGAAATGTAAGCATGACGTTTTTGCCAGTTATATGTTAATATGAAAAACATAAGCACGTATAGTTATTAACATGTACTGTGTTAACTTTAACATGAAAAGCCCATTAAGCCTCTGAAATGCTATCATTTTTATTTTTCAAAAACTTATTTTTTAATTTTGGTGTTTTGTTATCGTATTTTGTGTGGAAGTCAATATACTTCTTTGTTTACATTTTGCTATCTTTATGACATATATATGCACGTTCAATGCTACTTTCTTCCGTTGTTAAAGATATAACATATTCTACATTCAATATAAAACATTATTAAACACATGTTTAGCGTTTCTATAGAATCTGAAAGTATTAACTTCTGAGGCATGATGTGCCTTTAACTTTCACAGATACAATTC